ATAACGATCCACGAAAAAACCTTTTTTACGAGGGTTATTTTCACTATTAAGTTCCACGAGTACTTTCGACCTCCACCGAAGTCTGCTTCAGGTGGTGAGTGTCGACCCGACCGTTGTAACGATGTTGCCAACGATGTAAATAAATAAACGTGCGCGTCGGGTTTCACCCCTCCGACCGCCATTGCTCGAACTCCTCGAATAAATACTTCCACGCCTGTGCAAGTGTTTCCCCGTCCTTGTAGTTGATGCAGTTGCCCCCCCTGCTAGCTTTGTGAATCTCCCAGGCCTCCAGGTGACGGATGTGATCCGCGCGGAACACGTGTCTGATAACTTTGGTGTTCCGGAAGTCCGCCCTTATTTCAGGGTCGGTGACAGACCTCGGTGGAGGTCGAAAGTACTTGTGGAACTTAATAGTGAAAATAACCCTCGTAAAAAAGGTTTTTTCGTGGATCATTATATAATTTATATTTATACATTTCCTTTATTTTTATTTTATCTATTATATTTTACATAGCATTTAAAATATTATATATACAACTAAAAAAATTAATTAAAATTTCTAAATTTCAAATTTAAAATAATAAAAATTTAAGCAGATTTATAATACAGTAGAGCATCGATTATCCGACCCCTGATTAACCGTCACCTCGGTTAACCGACTGCGTTCTAGTCGGCAAATTCAAATGTCCGCTAGTGATGTGGCACCACAATATTTGGCTATGTCTTGGCTACTTTAATATTATTTTTGTTAAATTTTTGCGTGTTTTAGCTGGCAACATTGGCTCAACCATGAAAGGGAGGTCAGTATTTAAACGAGGCTTAATTTTCTAATTATGAGTGGTTGTTTGTTTTGTGAGCAATAAAATAATTTGTTAAGTTCAGTTGTAACATGTGTCAGGTGTGTGGATGTCAGCAAGTGGTGATGGACAGTCCACAGCTTGGTCACACGTGTCAGGTGGGTGAGGTAACAGTATCCCCAAGAATGTGGGGGAGATTGTCCCGCCTAGAGAGGGAAAATTTGTGGCTTCCCTTTGTGGTGTGTAGAGTCAGTGTGTGTGTGGAGGCAGTGCTGAGAGGAGTGCTGGCCGCAGTACTGACCGGGGAGCTAACCAGAGTGGGTAGCTGTGTTGCTGGTCAAGAACCAGTATTGTAGTTATCAAATGATTGTCGGGTACCGGAGTGTTGCTCGATTGTGGAGTGCCAGAGAGTCACTCACGTATTAGAGACATTAAAGTGTAATTGTGTTGTTATTGTTAGACAAGAAGTGTATTGTGTTTTTTTGACCGTGTAAACAGGAACATTTCATACCACCATCATAACAACATCAATTTTGTATACAACATTTTCTGGTCTGTCGATATACAACATAATTTTAAAATAATTTTTAACGATACAATAGCGACGATTATTATTTTAAAAAAAATTTCATATGCTTAACATGGAGGAAAATTCAACGCAAAGTAGGTTAATATCTATATACTAATATACTAATTACATGGGATATAATAATATACTACACTAATAATAGATTTTTTCATACTTTTTGGTTATCTGACTTTTCAATTATCCGACCAACCCCAGTCCCCAATTGAGTCGGATAATCAATGCTCTACTATATTTTGAAACTTTTATTTTTTTAATTGAAAAAAAAATGTTAAAACAGAATATAAACATTAGCTTTAGAGAGTATTTATGCTTTTGAGAAATTAATTACTTTGTACAAAAATCTTAAAAATATCTATTTAATTTGTTTTTCTTCTTAATTTTATTACATAACAGCTGAATTTTAGCTTAAATTAAAATTGTAGTGACCTATCATGTAAAGTTGTTTTGAAATTTAAGCAAAATTTTACTGACCCTGTACATTTTTTACATTAGCTTTTATTTCCTCATTGATCCTATCAAGATCTTCTTTCAATTTGTTGTTATTTACTTTAAGTTGATCTATAGTCTGAAAAAATGAAAAAAATTTTTTTAATAATAATAAATTTAGTAAAATTATTAAATAGACTAGTTCATCAACTATTTTATTTGAATTCTCAAATTTTTCATTATAACTTATATCAATATTTATTTTTTTATTTCCTTATTTCTTCATAAATTTTTAAATTCATGGATCATTAATCATTAATGCATTTTACTTAATAGTATATAGCTGTAAGCTTCTTGCCTCTAATAAATAAAATAAAATAATTATCTCAAATAACCAGTTGGTAGAGATATATAAGGCTTATCAAACTGTAATGGAGACAAGTAATCGAGATCACATCAAGAAAATAAGATTTGGAGAATGCATTTTGGTCTTCACTAGACCCTTATATAAATAGTTGGCCACAATTATATAAATATAGATACCTGCAATATTTAACTTAATAGTTAAAGGTTACATGGGAATACTGCAACTGTTCATACATTCATCTGGTTACAATTTCTATGAATTTTCACATATTTTTTTCCTTCGAAATATGACAATTTATAGCCTTGCAAATTAAAAAAAAATAAAAATAAATCATGTAAAAATGTAAGAAACAGTTTATTGTGAAAAAATAAACACTGCTAACAAGAAGCAGTGCAAGTCAAATTGGCAAGCACTGCCACAATACACTGCTTTCTGTAGGTCCAACAAAAAAATTGTTCTATTGCACTGATGATTTATGAAACAAATAATAAAATAATTTTTGTTGTTATTTCAGTTTCAGAATATAAAGATGTTTGCAAATATTTGCAATATTTATTTAAAAAAATCAGTGTTTTGTTTTCTTCATTGATTTGATTTTAAACACACAAGATGATTTTCACTTTAGAAAAACATTTATATCAAAAAACTCAATATTGATACTGTTTACTGTAACAAGATGATATATCATTGTGATCAAAAAGTATCAGGAATGGTTCATTTAAACTATGTGCATGCAAAAAGTGCCATTGTCTTTTCTGTGTTGTTTGATACAACTTTCATTGCCATTTAGCAGCAATCTATATGTTGTTTGTTTTCATTTGGAAATAAAAGTTGTTTTGTGTAAAAAAATTTTTGTGCAGTGATTTTTTAAGATGTCAAGTGTAATTGAGCAAAGAATGTAAGTTAAATTTTGTTTTTGCAATGGAATCACAGCTACAAAAACATTGAAAATGTTATAAAAAGCCTTTGTTAATGATAGTTTATCAAAAACAAGAGTTTTCAAATGATACAAAATGTTCAAAGAAGGCAGTGAACACAAAAAATGAACCATGTTATGATAGACCATCCACTTCAAATGATGAACAACATGCTGCTCAAGTCAGAGATTTAGTGTTCAATAATCATTGTTTAACAATTAGAGACATTATTGGACATGTTCCCGTATCATTTAGATCTTTTCAAGCAATTTTAAAAGATCATTGGGCTTGAAGTGCATCACTTCTTGAGTTGTCCTGAAAATGTTGAATTTTTTCCAAAACAAGAATATATTCAAGTGACAGGAAATGCTTTTTCAAGGCAAATCGGTCTTAAAACACATCATCATGGGTAATGAAACATGGTTCTACACTTTTGGCACCAAACAGCTCAACAATCAAGTGAATGGTGCTCAAAACGTAAAGTAAGACTGAAAAGGCCACATCAAAGTAAGTCAAAAATCAAGGTCATGTTGACTGATTGTGGTGGTATTGTGTATCATGAATTTTTTCCAACCACCAAACTGTCAACAAAGAATACTATTTGAGCATTTTGCATTGTTTACGTGAAGCAATTCATAGAAAAATAAACTGATTTACGGTGAGAAAACTCATGGATTTTGCACCATGATAATGCACCTGCTCACAATGCTCGTTTGTGAATTTTTTGCCAAAAATTCAACAAATATGGTTCTACAAGCTCTATATTCACCTGATATGGCACCATGTGACTTTTTCCTGTTTTTCTCAGCTAAAATTTTCACTTTGTGGCTGTTTTAAGTCAACTGATGCCATAAAACAAAATTCACCATAACTCCTGAAGGAGTTTCATGAAAATGACTTTAAAGCTTTAAAGTTTCAAGGATTGGAAAAAAAAACATTGGCATAAGTGCATTGCAGTGGGAGAGGATTACTTTGAAAAAAACAAAATAAATTTTGATGAATAAATTCAAATCTTGCATTTTATTGTACCACCAATAATACTTTTTGATCATAGTGGTAAAATGCCAATAGTTAAAACAAAGGGAATGCAAACTAATACAAAACACTGCTAGTAAGACCAAGATATTACTGTATTACAATGGTCTTGACACTATCATAAGATAAAACTATGTCTCAAGATTTATCATCACTGAAGAAAATATCATCTTTAAAAATACAGAATGGTATTTTAAACTATTTGACTACTCAGATGTCATGATATTTTACGAAGAATCAAGCGAAAGTCAAATTTTTGATTCTTCATAAAATAATGAAAGTTTTTTAAAATTTGAATCAAAATGTATTTATTCTCTTTTCTGAATTTTTTTCAAAAATGTTTGAACTTAATATTACAAATTCAAAAAACTATACATTCCTTATTTTTTTAATCACAAATTTAAAGTCAAAATTCATTACAATAATTAAACAACATAATCCAATATTAATTTTGTAAAATAAAGCTCTAATAATAATACTATAGTAGAAAATTGGTTTAACATATTTCTGCATTTAAGTTTTTTTTACCAGTTCCTTTGAATATTCATAAACCACAATGTTTAACATTACTATATTTAGCATTTTTCAATTTTGCATATTTTCAGAATTTAATATATTGAAAATTTAACATTTTTCAAGGAAATTTTCATTTCAAATCATATTTTCAAAAAAAGTATTATTTTATGTTTAGATAGTCAGAAGAATTATAAGTTTGATGAATTATGATGATGTTTTGCCACCTTCAGATAGCAAGTAAAGTTAGGTTTTTGCAGTTAACTACAGATTCTGCAATTCAGATAATAGTATTCTTGTGCAACTACAAATCCAGACATTATAGCAACAAATACAAAATGCAAAAAGTAGTACTTAATGCACAATAGTAATGATAGCATATCAAATCCTCAACAGAAACCAAACTTAATTACTTTGAAAAGATGGCTTAACAGTCTTTTTATTTTTGTGTAAAACATACATAGAAATATCAATTGTTGTGCATTATATTGTATGAAATAAAGCTTTCATATAAACATTTATACTGGTATTTGTTTTTCTTCACTTTATCCATTCTGAATGCATATATACATATATTTGTATGATCTGGCATGTTTTGTAAGAATGTTCAGATTTTACATTTGGTTTAGTTTCATGAGATGTAGCAATGCAACATGGACAATCTGCCAAAGGAGATGCCTTTCACAAGAATCTTACTATGGAAACTGGCACACAGATACCTACTTAAGTGTAAGATACATGAAGAAAACCTAGAAGCTTAGGTTAGCAGAGGTTAGCTTGCTGGTGAGGCACAAAGCTGCAATCAATTATCAGTGTTCAGTGATTTCATCAACTCAACCACTGGTAGGCTAGATTTTTCAGATTCCCTAATTTACCATTTATTTTCATCAGTTCTTTGAAAAACATTAAAACCAAGTTTCTACTGTAATTTTATTAAATATAATAATGTTATTTAGTAATCTACTTTCAAAACATTCATATTTTATAAAAATTATTAAAAATTTATATTTATAAAGTTTTATTTCATACCTCATTCTTTTCATTAATTATAATATCTTTTTCTGCTATAATATCCCTCTTTTCAATTTTTATTGATTCAAGCTCTGACCGTAAAGCTACAACCTCTTCCTGAAGATCACTTATTTTGTTATTGGACATCTTCAGAATATTTTCTAAATTCTTCAATTGTTCTGCCTGATTGGCTAGATTCTTAGATTCTTCTTCTTGAGCACGTAATAACTTGTTAGCTTTAACCTGTATTTTATTTTTTTAAATTTATTCAATTTTAATTTTATTTTTTACTTTAAATTAGAATGTAAATATTACTATTAAATAAATCTATTATTAATTAAAATATCATTATAATAAAACTATACTAATTATTCAAATGAAAATTTTATAAAAATCATATTAATGAAATTCATTATTGTATTTTAAAAATAAAAGAATGTAGAATTTTTAAAATACAAAAGTTTAATAATATAATTACTAATTGTTGTCTTGCAATTCCGAATACGTTCATAGTTAATGCTTAGTTTAATTCAAATCACAAATTGTCCTTACAGCTTATAACTTGATATAAAATTTAACATTGCTGAAATACTTAATTTTGAGTTATAAAAATTCAACACACAGTTTTAACAAATGAATCAAATAACTTTTGTAATTTTTTTTTATCCAAAAATAATTTTTAATCTGCAAGATAAAATTTTTTAACAATTATGAAATCATATCAAATAAATGTAAATTTACAAAGATGCACATAACCATGTAATAAAAAGCAATATATTATTTTTGTTAAATTTCCATTGATGATAATTTTAAAAATTTTCAACCTCAAGAAACATTATTTTTCTTACTTTATTTTCTCTAATTTCTAACAATTTTTAATAATAATGTAAATTTTTTAATAATTTCTAATAATTTTTTTTCAATGAAAGATTGAGTATATACAAGTCAACATTTATGATTTATCCTCATATCCTAATTTCTCCATATAGCATACAAGTTGTGTATACATTAAAATAATTTTCAAAATTTTCTGCACAAAGGAAATTATTCATTAATATATTTTTGTAAAAGTAATTTTTTAAATGACAGTAAGGTTTTAATTTATCCACAGATAATTCATTTTAACTTTAAATAATCATGGATTAAAGACTTATTATTTTATTATTACTTTTTGGTATAATTCATCAATCTTCAAGTTATTTGAATCAAAATCAAATTTTCATTTCAAAATTAAAATTATTTTTTATCTTAAAGTACATACCAATTCCTCAATTCTTTGCTGAAGTGAGATAATCTTGTTTTCAAGACCTTTGTTGAGCTTTTTAATATGTTCAACTGATCTTGCTTCAACCTAAATAAAATAAAACAAAATATATATACTGAAATAAAATAGTTATGCTTTTATTATTATATACATAAAAAAGTTATAGAATTCTGACATGAAGAAATTTAAGCATATAATACAGAGAACATTAATAGTTTTTTTTATATTAAAGAGTACTTTTGCCTGCTTTATTTTAGATTTCTTCTGTTGCAAGGTATCTTGAAACTGAAGAAGCCTATTTTCTTTTTTATTTAAAGAATTTTTTTTCAGCCTGCTTTTAAATTAGAAATTTTTTCAAATGAAGCATTTTATATAATAAATTTTCAAGATTTAACCAATCAACTAGTTTATTTTTAATATTCTAATGTATATTTATTGGCTTAGAGATAAAGTAGACAAAAGTTTTTTCATTAAAATATTATCTATAAATTTTACAGTAAATTTTTCTTGCTAAGTATGTAGTCACAAATCACAAACACACTATAGCACCTATTAAAAATGTACCAAAAAAATAAAATTATTATTTTTTAAAAATTTTAAATTTTGTAATATCAAGCAATTAATATTTTATTGATTCCTGATCAAACCTCTTGACAATGAGAGGTAAAATAGTTTAATTACCTATTCAAAAAAAACAAAATTTTCTTTAATAGAAATATCAAACATTAAGATCCATAAATTGTTCTATTAATAATACTAAACTAATTTCAAACATTTTCTCTCTTAACAGTACATTACACAACTTAAATATATGTAATACCAATTCTTCCACTATCTCTTTACAAAAATGATATTGTAATTTATCAAAAATCTTAATTTAACATTTAGTACATGAAACTCTATACCTGTTCAGATATAACTGCAGATTTAACTCTAGTTATATCTGCATTAATAGAGATTTAACTCTAAAAATTAACTTAGTTAATAAGTAATACTGTTTTCCAACAAAAACCAAAACTGGAGTCCAACTGTTTTTTATAAGTTAGTTTCTATTATTGTCCTATAATATACTGAGTAATTTTGCAAGATCTTTCCCAAAAATTTTTCAGAGGCTGAAGGGACTATGAGACTGGAAGATAAAAGAATAACTAGCATTATCTAAAATATACTTAACTCTTTCTACAGGGCAAACTCAGCATCTTCCTGTAAACAAGCTTTCAAAGATTGTCTCAAAGTAATCTGCACCAGTATGTTAAAAATCTGACAAATAAGTTGCAACTTCACTGAAAGCTTCCATTCTAATAAATGGGTCAAATGTAGATCTATCCAACTTAAAAACAGATCTAAAATACCATAACTGAAGGGATTCTATTAATTTGTCAACATCAGCCTTGATCAAATCCCAAATTGTCTAAAGATAACCACTTCACTTAGAATTAAAAACTTAAATAGTTTAACAAACAATAAATAAACAATCTTAAAAAAAAAAAATGCATTTTCACACACACACAGAAAGCATGGGTAACTTTTTGTTTAACTTTTATAATTTTTTACTTAATACAATCAAAGAAAGAAATAACAAAGGAAAATCAAATACCAAAATATTTCACATTATGCACACTTTCTATATCAACAATTCTTAAATTGTGATATTGACACGGAACTTGGGGTCTGAGAGTTAATGGTCAGAAGTCCACAAATAATTTTTCAAACTAAAATTAGATTTGTTATTTAATTTCATAATGGAAAACATAAAAAATTGCCATGCAATCTCAATTAATTGTTTATTACAATCAACTGCTAACATTTCTTGTTCATATAAGTGCAATAAAATTAATCAAATCACTGCCATATAAGTTAAAGTTAATGGTTAGGGGTCCAGCAAAACACACATCATATGAAAAGGACCCTCAAACTCAAAGTTTATGACCCACTGCTCTAGCTAGATCCTACCTAAATAAAATTTATCAGATTTTTTATTTTTTCCATCCTTTTTACACACCAAAGTCTGTATTATTAAAAATTTATTTATTCCAATATTAATTTAATTAAATATTTTTTTCTATTAAATAGAAAAACTTCTACAGTGAGAACAGTAATTGTTGACCATTCCTAATGGTCAACAATGGTCCATTAGGAATGTTCAACAATTACTGTTTTAAACAGAGTTATTTTTAGTCTCCTACAGGGGACTAAAAATAACTCTGTTTAAAACAGTAATTGATAACTTCTCCTGAAGTATATGAAATATATATATGAGTATATCTAATGCTATTAATTTTATAATTATTGTAAGAGCATCCATACAAATGTTTACTTCTTAAAGAAATTCATTACTATATTACTATAAAATAATTTTCTAACATATTTTTGTCAAACAAATGATTTTCTCATTTATTAAATACTCACTAAAATTGATTTATACAATTTTAAAAGAAAATTATAAACAAAAATTGCAATTATGTAAATATCAAATGTGTGACAAATAGAAAAAAAAAATTTAGGTTTATTGGAGACTGAACATTACTTTCTGAGCTAAAGAAGTTGAATATCATTGGTTTTATCTTTAAAATAATAAAAATTTACCTTTAATCTCTTCAATTCTTTCTTTGCAAACCAACGCCTAATACAAGATTGAACCAGAATTATATTCTTTTGTGTTTGTTTATATTTTCTATAAGCTGACCATCTTCGAACATATTTCTGTAAAATAATTCATTTTTATTGTTTCAACATTCAATATGCAAAGCTATATATATATATATATTTTCATTAAAATAAACTAGCTGAAAATTTATTATTATTGAAATAACTTTAGATATGCAGTAAAAATATTATCATCATCATTGTAAAATATTTGAAAGATATATATGGTTTAAAAGAATGTATTGCATCTATTTCATAGATTATCATTAGGGTTTCTCATTTCCCAGTCTTTTGCTTGTCCTTATTTTACAGATATTATTCGATAATTCATCAAATATCATCTGTAAAATAAGGACTTAAGAATGGTCATCAGAACCTGAAATGCACTTCCAAATATAGCTATAAAGTCTATATCAATTAAAGTTTCCTGTGTGATTTAAGTTACTAAAAAAGTCAAAATTTAGGCTTAGTAAATAACAAACTAGTAACAGAAACGATCAATTAAATACATTTATAAAACTTTGCTTTTATTGTAATTAGAGTTTAGTTAATAGATTAGTTATTGTAATCAGAGTTCAGATAAATAAGCATTTTTAAGCTTCTACATTGTAAGTGGCTAATAACTGATAACAATTGGGCATTATCAGTTATTGTTCCCAAATTTAACTAGTGCTTTAATCATTATTTGCTCATAATACAGTAGTTTCAATTGCTAGTATATCTTACTTTAATTGTATACTAGCTACTGTTAAAGACAGTACTACAAAAAAATTATATACAATGAATTACTATTAATTCATAATTATTAATCATTCTTCAATTTAAATCTTTTAATTGTTTTAAAATGTCCTCTTTATATTAGAGTCAATAAAATAATTTTCATTACTCATGCAGTTTTTGTTTGACTGTAATTAAAGTTATAAAAATTATTTATTCTGAAATGGTTTATAGCATCAATTTGGGATTAGTTTCTCTTGCATGTAAATCAAATGTACACTAGCAAAATATTTTTATAAAGGGTATTACAAATAAAGTGAACTAGTCTCATAACTTGGAATGACTAAAGGAAGCAGGATTGGACTAATGATGACTAAAAAAGAGGCAAGAGTTTGACAAGAAATACATGACCAAAAGTTGGCAAGTGCATATGACAGATCCTTGGATTATTCCTATGGGAGATTTCTTGCTAAAGTTCAATGGTGCATTGGGTCATCAGACAATGCCATCAGAAAGTACATAAAAATCTAAACATTTCAATACTCTAAGGTAATTTTCAATTACTCTTGCCACTGTTGAATAAAATAAACATGTAAGTGAAAAAAGGTAGACAGGCAAGCATTTAAACAAGTGCAACTGTCATTAGCACACAAGTTTACAGTTCTATACTGTTAAAGTCACTCATACTATAATGACGTGCATGTGTTGCTGGCCAATAAGGTCAACTTAACAGTACAGAGCTGTAAATGTATGTACTAATGACAATTTTACTTGTTTACATACTTGCTTGTCTGCCTTTCCTAACTTTTGTGTTTATGTTTATTTTACTTGACAGTGACATGAGTTATCAAAATTACCTTGAGTAAACATTGTTTAGCATTTCACATACTTTCCAATGGAACCATTTTTGACACCATGTACCATTGAACTTTGGCAAGAAATCTTCCATAGGACTCTGTAACCTGGGGATCTCAGACACATGCACTCATCAACGCTTGGACATGTATAGTTTCCTTGCACTTTGGATGCCTAAAATCAGTCCAATCTGCCTTCATGGAAGAAATTCATCTTATTTGTAACACCCTATATATTCCATTTGCTTTTAATTTATAAAATATTTTGCAAATTTATAAATGCTTTAATAAAGTAAGTTTACAAAAATTATGTATTCAGTTAAAGTTTTTGTGTTTTTTACTGGACATAACTATGGAGATCAGTAATGTGATGGATTTAATTTGGAAAATTCAACAAATTTTAATGTGTTAAGCTTTATGAATTTTAGAAAGATACTACTGCCATACAAACAGTAAAAATGGTACTTTTCAATAGTGTTATTTGAAAAAAAAAAATGTTACAAATGAAAAAAAGTCTGTTTCAATCCCAAAAAGAACTCTGCATTCCAAAAATTACTATTTTATGTATGGTAAGATATGAATGACATAATTTGTGAACTTTCAAAGCCTAATAAAATTATAAATTCTGATGTCTACTGATAACTTAAATTGAGTATACAAATGTCTTAAACCAAAAAAATCCACATCTGATCAATCAAAAGAAAATTGTTTTTCATCAGGATAACACATGTCCTTATACCAGTTTGATAATACAACAAAAAATAAAAAAAATATATCCAGATAAAGCAATTCTTAAGAAATTAATATTTCAAAAGTAGCTAATATGAAGAAACAAATACGACTTGGAAAAATAATGAGTATGAAATTTTTATGCATTTCTGGATGTTTGTAGAGTAAACTTGTATTGAGCAATAAAGATAAAAATTACAATAAAATTTCATAAAATTTTTAAAAAATTAAAAAAGAATTTTCACAATTCATTTTTACCTGTATTCAATAAGTAAAGTAAATTTTTTATTTTATTTAATAAAACAAATAAAATATTAAGTTTATTTGAGATATTTGAGTGCTCTATATCTGAACTGAAGTGAATGTAGGGACATATCCAGCAGGAGCTTATGGTGTTGCAACACTCTTTGATACCAAAGCAATCAGGTTTGTTATTTCAAAACTATATACTTATAATAATGCATATCACAACAGTCCCCAACCATTCTGTTTTGATTTCTGTGGCATATGCATTGCATGATGATAGTTAAATCATATTCTTTACTTTTCTTTACTGTCTTTCATCCTAATTATCATACTGTAACGGTATTTATATTTTAAGCAGATGGTCAAATACACCCTGCTCTAAAAGTGTGTTAATTTATATCCATTAAATACAGTTTCATTACTTTCCATTGTTTATTTTATATTTTAAGTGTATACTTATCCTGTGTCCAGAAAACCAGAAATCAGGACCAATTTTGGTCTCAAAACTTGCCAGATAATTGGTCCTGTAAGATACCACCTTCCATTTAACAAATTTAAATAGTAGTAAATAAAAAAATATTTAAAAAATTAGGTAACTAAGGTAATTGAGAAACATTCTCTGAAAACTGATAGGGGACATGTACCTTGGTATCTAAAAAATCTGCCTTGAGCAGAACAGTTATTCTCAAAATCCTAAATATGCCAATGAATGAATGATATACAATGTATGACTAAAAATTCACTATTTAAAGTAAATTAAAAGCAATGTCTAAAGATTTACACATTAAATTTTTAAACATGTGAGACCTGAATAGACCCTGTGATTAATTAATAATTTAATTATAACGTTAAATTTTGAAAGAAAATAATCTTTAATTTTTCGTGTGAAAATATCGTTTTTCTAAATGTGGGAAATGGCTAAAAAGTCACTTCCTTTAACAGAAGTTGAAACATCCTTTTGTTTTACCCTTATCTACCAAAAATCTCAACACCCTGGGAATTGTCGACCCCTCGATCAATCCCCTTTTCCTCTGTACATGTGAGAGAATCCAAAATGTTGATTGGATGAAAATCAAGAGATATAGAAAGAGTTGTGCAGGATTTGAGGAGTACGCCATGAGATTCCATAGAAGGAAGACGTATTCCATATTGGCTCCCTAAGGTCAACGCCCTTAGTTGTGAGTACACCACAAGATCTCCTAGAAGCCAGACGTATTCCATACCGCATCCCTAAGGCCAACACCCATAGTCGTATCCAGCCAATTTTAATAATGAGTTAAGTTAGTAAGATAGAGAAGAAACTATAATTATGTGCTTGTCAAGACCTCTCCATGAACTGAAGTATAAGAATTTAAAGAATTGAAGTATAAAGAAACTAAAGGTGAAGATAAAGAGAAATTATCTAGAGGTAGTATGGTTATACTAAACATTGTGAGCTCTCTCTCTCGACCGATTAATATTAATTATTCCATTTTTGTGTAAATTTGTTTATTTTTGTTTTATTAAATTCTTTTTATTATTTGTTTAAGAAATGTCTCTCAAGTGTCTGAATCAGATCCTTGTTATCCTCATCACATGCGTGTTAATCCGCATATTCTAAATTTGATTAACTGGTGTCGGGAATCCTGACATGAGGAAAAAGATGATTACACAATCATCCAATTCCGCTTGAATTAACCTATTTAGTAAAAGAAATTTTATATAATTTGATATAAAAGAACAATGTTCTACAACCTTTAATCTAACAAATCTAAATTGTAAAAAAAATATTTTCAATAAAGAAATTTATTAGAGATTTATTGGATTAAAGTGTGTTAAAACATTGTATTGTAAACATCTAGTTTATCTGTCTTATGTAATGGTAAATCAATTAACAATCTTCATTTAATACTATTTAAAATTAACTTGCATTATACAGGATGGTTCACTTAAGACTGAACACTTACTATATAGAATATTGCCATATAAAATGAAAAGATGAGCATGAAAGACAAACAGAATAATCATTTATTTTATGATGAAGCAGTCAACCAAGGTGCATTTTACATTACTTATTCAAATTTGACTGTGCAATCATGAGATATCAAACAAAGTAAATATTCAGTCCTAAGTAAATCATCCTGCATTATCTTAAATAACATGAATTATTATTAAATATTTACATATTTGACTTTCAAATATTCATTGAAATACTATCACTTAATAATATAATAATTATNTTTAAGATTAATTTTATATTTTTTATTTTGAATTTAAACAAATAAAATTCTATATTTGCAAGCTTCTTGCTCTAATAAATAAAATAAAATAATTTTCTCAAATAACCAATTGGAAGAGATATACATGGCTTATCAAACTGTAATGGAGCCAAGTAATCACGATCACATCAAGAAAATAAGACTTATTTTGGTCTTCACTAGACTCTCTTCAGCCACAATTATAAATATAGATACTTACAACAATCATTAATGCATTTTACTTAATAGTATATAGCTGTAAGCTTCTTGCCTCTAATAAATAAAATAAAATAATTATCTCAAATAACCAGTTGGTAGAGATATATAAGGCTTATCAAACTGTAATGGAGACAAGTAATCGAGATCACATCAAGAAAATAAGATTTGGAGAATGCATTTTGGTCTTCACTAGACCCTTATATAAATAGTTGGCCACAATTATATAAATATAGATACCTGCAATATTTAACTTAATAGTTAAAGGTTACATGGGAATACTGCAACTGTTCATACATTCATCTGGTTACAATTTCTATGAATTTTCACATATTTTTTTCCTTCGAAATATGACAATTTATAGCCTTGCAAATTAAAAAAAAATAAAAATAAATCATGTAAAAATGTAAGAAACAGTTTATTGTGAAAAAATAAACACTGCTAACAAGAAGCAGTGCAAGTCAAATTGGCAAGCACTGCCACAATACACTGCTTTCTGTAGGTCCAACAAAAAAATTGTTCTATTGCACTGATGATTTATGAAACAAATAATAAAATAATTTTTGTTGTTATTTCAGTTTCAGAATATAAAGATGTTTGCAAATATTTGCAATATTTATTTAAAAAAATCAGTGTTTTGTTTTCTTCATTGATTTGATTTTAAACACACAAGATGATTTTCACTTTAGAAAAACATTTATATCAAAAAACTCAATATTGATACTGTTTACTGTAACAAGATGATATATCATTGTGATCAAAAAGTATCAGGAATGGTTCATTTAAACTATGTGCATGCAAAAAGTGCCATTGTCTTTTCTGTGTTGTTTGATACAACTTTCATTGCCATTTAGCAGCAATCTATATGTTGTTTGTTTTCATTTGGAAATAAAAGTTGTTTTGTGTAAAAAAATTTTTGTGCAGTGATTTTTTAAGATGTCAAGTGTAATTGAGCAAAGAATGTAAGTTAAATTTTGTTTTTGCAATGGAATCACAGCTACAAAAACATTGAAAATGTTATAAAAAGCCTTTGTTAATGATAGTTTATCAAAAACAAGAGTTTTCAAATGATACAAAATGTTCAAAGAAGGCAGTGAACACAAAAAATGAACCATGTTATGATAGACCATCCACTTCAAATGATGAACAACATGCTGCTCAAGTCAGAGATTTAGTGTTCAATAATCATTGTTTAACAATTAGAGACATTATTGGACATGTTCCCGTATCATTTAGATCTTTTCAAGCAATTTTAAAAGATCATTGGGCTTGAAGTGCATCACTTCTTGAGTTGTCCTGAAAATGTTGAATTTTTTCCAAAACAAGAATATATTCAAGTGACAGGAAATGCTTTTTCAAGGCAAATCGGTCTTAAAACACATCATCATGGGTAATGAAACATGGTTCTACACTTTTGGCACCAAACAGCTCAACAATCAAGTGAATGGTGCTCAAAACGTAAAGTAAGACTGAAAAGGCCACATCAAAGTAAGTCAAAAATCAAGGTCATGTTGACTGATTGTGGTGGTATTGTGTATCATGAATTTTTTCCAACCACCAAACTGTCAACAAAGAATACTATTTGAGCATTTTGCATTGTTTACGTGAAGCAATTCATAGAAAAACAAACTGATTTACGGTGAGAAAACTCATGGATTTTGCACCATGATAATGCACCTGCTCACAATGCTCGTTTGTGAATTTTTTGCCAAAAATTCAACAAATATGGTTCTACAAGCTCTATATTCACCTGATATGGCACCATGTGACTTTTTCCTGTTTTTCTCAGCTAAAATTTTCACTTTGTGGCTGTTTTAAGTCAACTGATGCCATAAAACAAAATTCACCATAACTCCTGAAGGAGTTTCATGAAAATGACTTTAAAGCTTTAAAGTTTCAAGGATTGGAAAAAAAAACATTGGCATAAGTGCATTGCAGTGGGAGAGGATTACTTTGAAAAAAAACAAAATAAATTTTGATGAATAAATTCAAATCTTGCATTTTATTGTACCACCAATAATACTTTTTGATCATAGTGGTAAAATGCCAATAGTTAAAACAAAGGGAATGCAAACTAATACAAAACACTGCTAGTAAGACCAAGATATTACTGTATTACAATGGTCTTGACACTATCATAAGATAAAACTATGTCTCAAGATTTATCATCACTGAAGAAAATATCATCTTTAAAAATACAGAATGGTATTTTAAACTATTTGACTACTCAGATGTCATGATATTTTACGAAGAATCAAGCGAAAGTCAAATTTTTGATTCTTCATAAAATAATGAAAGTTTTTTAAAATTTGAATCAAAATGTATTTATTCTCTTTTCTGAATTTTTTTCAAAAATGTTTGAACTTAATATTACAAATTCAAAAAACTATACATTCCTTATTTTTTTAATCACAAATTTAAAGTCAAAATTCATTACAATAATTAAACAACATAATCCAATATTAATTTTGTAAAATAAAGCTCTAATAATAATACTATAGTAGAAAATTGGTTTAACATATTTCTGCATTTAAGTTTTTTTTACCAGTTCCTTTGAATATTCATAAACCACAATGTTTAACATTACTATATTTAGCATTTTTCAATTTTGCATATTTTCAGAATTTAATATATTGAAAATTTAACATTTTTCAAGGAAATTTTCATTTCAAATCATATTTTCAAAAAAAGTATTATTTTATGTTTAGATAGTCAGAAGAATTATAAGTTTGATGAATTATGATGATGTTTTGCCACCTTCAGATAGCAAGTAAAGTTAGGTTTTTGCAGTTAACTACAGATTCTGCAATTCAGATAATAGTATTCTTGTGCAACTACAAATCCAGACATTATAGCAACAAATACAAAATGCAAAAAGTAGTACTTAATGCACAATAGTAATGATAGCATATCAAATCCTCAACAGAAACCAAACTTAATTACTTTGAAAAGATGGCTTAACAGTCTTTTTATTTTTGTGTAAAACATACATAGAAATATCAATTGTTGTGCATTATATTGTATGAAATAAAGCTTTCATATAAACATTTATACTGGTATTTGTTTTTCTTCACTTTATCCATTCTGAATGCATATATACATATATTTGTATGATCTGGCATGTTTTGTAAGAATGTTCAGATTTTACATTTGGTTTAGTTTCATGAGATGTAGCAATGCAACATGGACAATCTGCCAAAGGAGATGCCTTTCACAAGAATCTTACTATGGAAACTGGCACACAGATACCTACTTAAGTGTAAGATACATGAAGAAAACCTAGAAGCTTAGGTTAGCAGAGGTTAGCTTGCTGGTGAGGCACAAAGCTGCAATCAATTATCAGTGTTCAGTGATTTCATCAACTCAACCACTGGTAGGCTAGATTTTTCAGATTCCCTAATTTACCATTTATTTTCATCAGTTCTTTGAAAAACATTAAAACCAAGTTTCTACTGTAATTTTATTAAATATAATAATGTTATTTAGTAATCTACTTTCAAAACATTCATATTTTATAAAAATTATTAAAAATTTATATTTATAAAGTTTTATTTCATACCTCATTCTTTTCATTAATTATAATATCTTTTTCTGCTATAATATCCCTCTTTTCAATTTTTATTGATTCAAGCTCTGACCGTAAAGCTACAACCTCTTCCTGAAGATCACTTATTTTGTTATTGGACATCTTCAGAATATTTTCTAAATTCTTCAATTGTTCTGCCTGATTGGCTAGATTCTTAGATTCTTCTTCTTGAGCACGTAATAACTTGTTAGCTTTAACCTGTATTTTATTTTTTTAAATTTATTCAATTTTAATTTTATTTTTTACTTTAAATTAGAATGTAAATATTACTATTAAATAAATCTATTATTAATTAAAATATCATTATAATAAAACTATACTAATTATTCAAATGAAAATTTTATAAAAATCATATTAATGAAATTCATTATTGTATTTTAAAAATAAAAGAATGTAGAATTTTTAAAATACAAAAGTTTAATAATATAATTACTAATTGTTGTCTTGCAATTCCGAATACGTTCATAGTTAATGCTTAGTTTAATTCAAATCACAAATTGTCCTTACAGCTTATAACTTGATATAAAATTTAACATTGCTGAAATACTTAATTTTGAGTTATAAAAATTCAACACACAGTTTTAACAAATGAATCAAATAACTTTTGTAATTTTTTTTTATCCAAAAATAATTTTTAATCTGCAAGATAAAATTTTTTAACAATTATGAAATCATATCAAATAAATGTAAATTTACAAAGATGCACATAACCATGTAATAAAAAGCAATATATTATTTTTGTTAAATTTCCATTGATGATAATTTTAAAAATTTTCAACCTCAAGAAACATTATTTTTCTTACTTTATTTTCTCTAATTTCTAACAATTTTTAATAATAATGTAAATTTTTTAATAATTTCTAATAATTTTTTTTCAATGAAAGATTGAGTATATACAAGTCAACATTTATGATTTATCCTCATATCCTAATTTCTCCATATAGCATACAAGTTGTGTATACATTAAAATAATTTTCAAAATTTTCTGCACAAAGGAAATTATTCATTAATATATTTTTGTAAAAGTAATTTTTTAAATGACAGTAAGGTTTTAATTTATCCACAGATAATTCATTTTAACTTTAAATAATCATGGATTAAAGACTTATTATTTTATTATTACTTTTTGGTATAATTCATCAATCTTCAAGTTATTTGAATCAAAATCAAATTTTCATTTCAAAATTAAAATTATTTTTTATCTTAAAGTACATACCAATTCCTCAATTCTTTGCTGAAGTGAGATAATCTTGTTTTCAAGACCTTTGTTGAGCTTTTTAATATGTTCAACTGATCTTGCTTCAACCTAAATAAAATAAAACAAAATATATATACTGAAATAAAATAGTTATGCTTTTATTATTATATACATAAAAAAGTTATAGAATTCTGACATGAAGAAATTTAAGCATATAATACAGAGAACATTAATAGTTTTTTTTATATTAAAGAGTACTTTTGCCTGCTTTATTTTAGATTTCTTCTGTTGCAAGGTATCTTGAAACTGAAGAAGCCTATTTTCTTTTTTATTTAAAGAATTTTTTTTCAGCCTGCTTTTAAATTAGAAATTTTTCAAATGAAGCATTTTATATAATAAATTTTCAAGATTTAACCAATCAACTAGTTTATTTTTAATATTCTAATGTATATTTATTGGCTTAGAGATAAAGTAGACAAAAGTTTTTTCATTAAAATATTATCTATAAATTTTACAGTAAATTTTTCTTGCTAAGTATGTAGTCACAAATCACAAACACACTATAGCACCTATTAAAAATGTACCAAAAAAATAAAATTATTATTTTTTAAAAATTTTAAATTTTGTAATATCAAGCAATTAATATTTTATTGATTCCTGATCAAACCTCTTGACAATGAGAGGTAAAATAGTTTAATTACCTATTCAAAAAAAACAAAATTTTCTTTAATAGAAATATCAAACATTAAGATCCATAAATTGTTCTATTAATAATACTAAACTAATTTCAAACATTTTCTCTCTTAACAGTACATTACACAACTTAAATATATGTAATACCAATTCTTCCACTATCTCTTTACAAAAATGATATTGTAATTTATCAAAAATCTTAATTTAACATTTAGTACATGAAACTCTATACCTGTTCAGATATAACTGCAGATTTAACTCTAGTTATATCTGCATTAATAGAGATTTAACTCTAAAAATTAACTTAGTTAATAAGTAATACTGTTTTCCAACAAAAACCAAAACTGGAGTCCAACTGTTTTTTATAAGTTAGTTTCTATTATTGTCCTATAATATACTGAGTAATTTTGCAAGATCTTTCCCAAAAATTTTTCAGAGGCTGAAGGGACTATGAGACTGGAAGATAAAAGAATAACTAGCATTATCTAAAATATACTTAACTCTTTCTACAGGGCAAACTCAGCATCTTCCTGTAAACAAGCTTTCAAAGATTGTCTCAAAGTAATCTGCACCAGTATGTTAAAAATCTGACAAATAAGTTGCAACTTCACTGAAAGCTTCCATTCTAATAAATGGGTCAAATGTAGATCTATCCAACTTAAAAACAGATCTAAAATACCATAACTGAAGGGATTCTATTAATTTGTCAACATCAGCCTTGATCAAATCCCAAATTGTCTAAAGATAACCACTTCACTTAGAATTAAAAACTTAAATAGTTTAACAAACAATAAATAAACAATCTTAAAAAAAAAAATGCATTTTCACACACACATAGAAAGCATGGGTAACTTTTTGTTTAACTTTTATAATTTTTTACTTAATACAATCAAAGAAAGAAATAACAAAGGAAAATCAAATACCAAAATATTTCACATTATGCACACTTTCTATATCAACAATTCTTAAATTGTGATATTGACACGGAACTTGGGGTCTGAGAGTTAATGGTCAGAAGTCCACAAATAATTTTTCAAACTAAAATTAGATTTGTTATTTAATTTCATAATGGAAAACATAAAAAATTGCCATGCAATCTCAATTAATTGTTTATTACAATCAACTGCTAACATTTCTTGTTCATATAAGTGCAATAAAATTAATCAAATCACTGCCATATAAGTTAAAGTTAATGGTTAGGGGTCCAGCAAAACACACATCATATGAAAAGGACCCTCAAACTCAAAGTTTATGACCCACTGCTCTAGCTAGATCCTACCTAAATAAAATTTATCAGATTTTTTATTTTTTCCATCCTTTTTACACACCAAAGTCTGTATTATTAAAAATGTATTTATTCCAATATTAATTTAATTAAATATTTTTTTCTATTAAATAGAAAAACTTCTACAGTGAGAACAGTAATTGTTGACCATTCCTAATGGTCAACAATGGTCCATTAGGAATGTTCAACAATTACTGTTTTAAACAGAGTTATTTTTAGTCTCCTACAGGGGACTAAAAATAACTCTGTTTAAAACAGTAATTGATAACTTCTCCTGAAGTATATGAAATATATATATGAGTATATCTAATGCTATTAATTTTATAATTATTGTAAGAGCATCCATACAAATGTTTACTTCTTAAAGAAATTCATTACTATATTACTATAAAATAATTTTCTAACATATTTTTGTCAAACAAATGATTTTCTCATTTATTAAATACTCACTAAAATTGATTTATACAATTTTAAAAGAAAATTATAAACAAAAATTGCAATTATGTAAATATCAAATGTGTGACAAATAGAAAAAAAAAATTTAGGTTTATTGGAGACTGAACATTACTTTCTGAGCTAAAGAAGTTGAATATCATTGGTTTTATCTTTAAAATAATAAAAATTTACCTTTAATCTCTTCAATTCTTTCTTTGCAAACCAACGCCTAATACAAGATTGAACCAGAATTATATTCTTTTGTGTTTGTTTATATTTTCTATAAGCTGACCATCTTCGAACATATTTCTGTAAAATAATTCATTTTTATTGTTTCGACATTCAATATGCAAAGCTATATATATATATATTTTCATTAAAATAAACTAGCTGAAAATTTATTATTATTGAAATAACTTTAGATATGCAGTAAAAATATTATCATCATCATTGTAAAATATTTGAAAGATATATATGGTTTAAAAGAATGTATTGCATCTATTTCATAGATTATCATTAGGGTTTCTCATTTCCCAGTCTTTTGCTTGTCCTTATTTTACAGATATTATTCGATAATTCATCAAATATCATCTGTAAAATAAGGACTTAAGAATGGTCATCAGAACCTGAAATGCACTTCCAAATATAGCTATAAAGTCTATATCAATTAAAGTTTCCTGTGTGATTTAAGTTACTAAAAAAGTCAAAATTTAGGCTTAGTAAATAACAAACTAGTAACAGAAACGATCAATTAAATACATTTATAAAACTTTGCTTTTATTGTAATTAGAGTTTAGTTAATAGATTAGTTATTGTAATCAGAGTTCAGATAAATAAGCATTTTTAAGCTTCTACATTGTAAGTGGCTAATAACTGATAACAATTGGGCATTATCAGTTATTGTTCCCAAATTTAACTAGTGCTTTAATCATTATTTGCTCATAATACAGTAGTTTCAATTGCTAGTATATCTTACTTTAATTGTATACTAGCTACTGTTAAAGACAGTACTACAAAAAAATTATATACAATGAATTACTATTAATTCATAATTATTAATCATTCTTCAATTTAAATCTTTTAATTGTTTTAAAATGTCCTCTTTATATTAGAGTCAATAAAATAATTTTCATTACTCATGCAGTTTTTGTTTGACTGTAATTAAAGTTATAAAAATTATTTATTCTGAAATGGTTTATAGCATCAATTTGGGATTAGTTTCTCTTGCATGTAAATCAAATGTACACTAGCAAAATATTTTTATAAAGGGTATTACAAATAAAGTGAACTAGTCTCATAACTTGGAATGACTAAAGGAAGCAGGATTGGACTAATGATGACTAAAAAAGAGGCAAGAGTTTGACAAGAAATACATGACCAAAAGTTGGCAAGTGCATATGACAGATCCTTGGATTATTCCTATGGGAGATTTCTTGCTAAAGTTCAATGGTGCATTGGGTCATCAGACAATGCCATCAGAAAGTACATAAAAATCTAAACATTTCAATACTCTAAGGTAATTTTCAATTACTCTTGCCACTGTTGAATAAAATAAACATGTAAGTGAAAAAAGGTAGACAGGCAAGCATTTAAACAAGTGCAACTGTCATTAGCACACAAGTTTACAGTTCTATACTGTTAAAGTCACTCATACTATAATGACGTGCATGTGTTGCTGGCCAATAAGGTCAACTTAACAGTACAGAGCTGTAAATGTATGTACTAATGACAATTTTACTTGTTTACATACTTGCTTGTCTGCCTTTCCTAACTTTTGTGTTTATGTTTATTTTACTTGACAGTGACATGAGTTATCAAAATTACCTTGAGTAAACATTGTTTAGCATTTCACATACTTTCCAATGGAACCATTTTTGACACCATGTACCATTGAACTTTGGCAAGAAATCTTCCATAGGACTCTGTAACCTGGGGATCTCAGACACATGCACTCATCAACGCTTGGACATGTATAGTTTCCTTGCACTTTGGATGCCTAAAATCAGTCCAATCTGCCTTCATGGAAGAAATTCATCTTATTTGTAACACCCTATATATTCCATTTGCTTTTAATTTATAAAATATTTTGCAAATTTATAAATGCTTTAATAAAGTAAGTTTACAAAAATTATGTATTCAGTTAAAGTTTTTGTGTTTTTTACTGGACATAACTATGGAGATCAGTAATGTGATGGATTTAATTTGGAAAATTCAACAAATTTTAATGTGTTAAGCTTTATGAATTTTAGAAAGATACTACTGCCATACAAACAGTAAAAATGGTACTTTTCAATAGTGTTATTTGAAAAAAAAAAATGTTACAAATGAAAAAAAGTCTGTTTCAATCCCAAAAAGAACTCTGCATTCCAAAAATTACTATTTTATGTATGGTAAGATATGAATGACATAATTTGTGAACTTTCAAAGCCTAATAAAATTATAAATTCTGATGTCTACTGATAACTTAAATTGAGTATACAAATGTCTTAAACCAAAAAAATCCACATCTGATCAATCAAAAGAAAATTGTTTTTCATCAGGATAACACATGTCCTTATACCAGTTTGATAATACAACAAAAAATAAAAAAAATATATCCAGATAAAGCAATTCTTAAGAAATTAATATTTCAAAAGTAGCTAATATGAAGAAACAAATACGACTTGGAAAAATAATGAGTATTAAATTTTTATGCATTTCTGGATGTTTGTAGAGTAAACTTGTATTGAGCAATAAAGATAAAAATTACAATAAAATTTCATAAAATTTTTAAAAAATTAAAAAAGAATTTTCACAATTCATTTTTACCTGTATTCAATAAGTAAAGTAAATTTTTTATTTTATTTAATAAAACAAATAAAATATTAAGTTTATTTGAGATATTTGAGTGCTCTATATCTGAACTNACCCCCCTATAAGATATAGATACGTTCCAATTTATTAGGAATCTGATTTCTTACAAGTTGTTCCAATCACAGCCCGACACGTGTCAAGTTTACGGACTACAGCTGATTGAAAAATTTTCTTCTATAAAATTAATCAATTCTACACTAATCCGACTCAACATTTCCAAAATACGTATATTTTTTCGTAGTTTTATAGGAATCGTAATTATAGGGACCGTAATTATAGGGGGGGTCGACTGTATATCAACCAAAGCCGAATATTATTGAGCTAGAAACAGCTATAATTCTAATTTAATAGACAATTTGGCATTAGAGTTAGGCGTTAGGTGCCATCTCTTGATAAATTTAATAATTATAAATTAATTAAATAATTTAAATAATAATTTTAGAATTACTGGAAGAAAAGAATCGGCTCGAAGCGAGACTTGAACCCACAACGATAGTATTTGGCTTTGGTTGATGTATAGCTTTAAACGTATCGGGTGTAGTAAGAATGTTTGATTAGTTGTGTTTTAACACACAAATGTAAACTTACTTAAAACTATGTTTATATTACGTTATTACTGTATATTAAATTTATATGAATATAAATTACATAAAATAATGAAAAAATTACATTAAAATAATACTTTATTTACCAAAAAGTGTAATTTCTGTATAATGAAATTTCTCTATAGCAAATTGTTTTTCAGGATTTAGTGACTTTATTATATAGAAGTTTGACTGTAGTTATTTTTAAAGGAATTCCTGTGTGTTTTAATATTTTTAATTAACTTAAAATTCTTTGTTGACATTCATTACTTTTATATCTAAATAACAAATTCTCATTGCTCTTGCTGCTCAACTTATTGTCAATCCATTATCACACATACCTATTAAAAAACTTTGACCAATTATATTTTTATTAATTTGAAGGATCATTATTATTAACATACTGAAATTTGTAACCAACTGTTTTATTTTTTGAAAACTTTTCTACAGTATTTATTATCATTTCAATAAGTTCTGCTGCAAAGAACAAAGCAACAACTGTTTCTCATATTTGAAAGTTTTTTTTGATTTTAAAAATAATTGTTATACAATAATAAATAAAAACTTATATTCTTATTTATTTATTTTACTTAATTATTTATCTTGTATTCCCATTCATAATGTAATCTCACCTGCATTATCTTAAATAACATGAATTATTATTAAATATTTACATATTTGACTTTCAAATATTCATTGAAATACTATCACTTAATAATATAATAATTATAAAAACATTAAATATAAGGTAATAAAAATAGACAAATTAAAATAAAGTATTTTTCATGATTCAATAAATTTACTTGTATTAATATACCATACCTGTATTATGATTGCAGCAGCTTTACGTCTCATTTCCTGATATTTGATACGGCCCCACATACCACGAATGTGAGCTTGAAGTCCAATTACAGTAAGCTGTAACTGTACATACTTTCTTCTTTGTATATAACAACGAATTTGTTTCTGAATTTTGATTGCTGCTTTAGTTCTTCTGAGAAACTGTGCTAATCTATAATATTTTATATAAAATAAGAATTAACTTATATATATTGTGTATATATATACAATATATATAAGTTTTTCTTTAAGTCTTATTCCAAGTAAATTTTTCTATTTAAGTCATAATTTTTGAAGATGCAATTTTTAATTATTGAATGAATCAATGTGCAGTACCATTTCCATTTAAAACTTAAATTTCTAATATATAGAAATTTAAATTTTAGCAATTTTCATAATAGCTGAAAAGAAAGAATATGCATAAAGTTGATTGAGACATACACTACATTAAAGCAAAGTGAAATCTTAGTTGTCATGGATAAACTAACCACTATGACTTAAATGTACTTTTAATGCCATTTTAATGTTCTTAATAAATGTGAAGCATATTATTAAAAGAGAACATTTTTTAATTGTTTTGTGCAACAAAATATTACAACTTGTTTTTATGAAAATGTAGTTAACCACTCAGCAGTGAGTGACGAATAGATTTGTCAAGGGTGATCGTGTGGCAGTGGTGAGGGACGTATATATATGTCAAATTCTTTTGGGGTTATTGCCAAAAACTACCGCAAAAAAAATTCACATAAAAGATGTGAATTATGTAACAATAAAAAAAGACTTTTCTTTACTAGACATAACTGTTTACAAAATCTTTTTCCAAAACAGTAATGGAAAAATACTCTAAAAACTTCACGTTTATTCTCCACTACTAAGGGATAGCATCATGCTTGACTATTCCACTGTTAAAAGGTTAAACTAAGTTGTAAGTGTTATACAGTCGACCCCCCTATAAGATATAGATACGTTCCATTTTATTAGGAATCCGATTTCTTACAAGTCGTTCCAATCACAGCCCGACACGTGTCAAGTTTACGGACTACAGCTGATTGAAAAATTTTCTTCTATAAAATTAATCAATTCTACACTAATCCGACTCAACATTTCCAAAATACGTATATTTTTTCGTAGTTTTATAGGAATCGTAATTATAGGGACCGTAATTATAGGGGGGGTCGACTGTATATCAACCAAAGCCGAATATTATTGAGCTAGAAACAGCTATAATTCTAATTTAATAGACAATTTGGCATTAGAGTTAGGCGTTAGGTGCCATCTCTTGATAAATTTAATAATTATAAATTAATTAAATAATTTAAATAATAATTTTAGAATTACTGGAAGAAAAGAATCGGCTCGAAGCGAGACTTGAACCCACAACGATAGTATTTGGCTTTGGTTGATGTATAGCTTTAAACGTATCGGGTGTAGTAAGAATGTTTGATTAGTTGTGTTTTAACACACAAATGTAAACTTACTTAAAACTATGTTTATATTACGTTATTACTGTATATTAAATTTATATGAATATAAATTACATAAAATAATGAAAAAATTACATTAAAATAATACTTTATTTACCAAAAAGTGTAATTTCTGTATAATGAAATTTCTCTATAGCAAATTGTTTTTCAGGATTTAGTGACTTTATTATATAGAAGTTTGACTGTAGTTATTTTTAAAGGAATTCCTGTGTGTTTTAATATTTTTAATTAACTTAAAATTCTTTGTTGACATTCATTACTTTTATATCTAAATAACAAATTCTCATTGCTCTTGCTGCTCAACTTATTGTCAATCCATTATCACACATACCTATTAAAAAACTTTGACCAATTATATTTTTATTAATTTGAAGGATCATTATTATTAACATACTGAAATTTGTAACCAACTGTTTTATTTTTTGAAAACTTTTCTACAGTATTTATTATCATTTCAATAAGTTCTGCTGCAAAGAACAAAGCAACAACTGTTTCTCATATTTGAAAGTTTTTTTTGATTTTAAAAATAATTGTTATACAATAATAAATAAAAACTTATATTCTTATTTATTTATTTTACTTAATTATTTATCTTGTATTCCCATTCATAATGTAATCTCAATGTTAAAAAACGGAAATAGTTATTTTTGCATTTCTTTATTAAAAAGAAATATTAATTTATGTATTAAGAATAATTCTTTCTTATATTTTTCTTTGATCAAAGGAAAAAAATATAATTTTATAATTACTAATTTTTATATTTTTAAATAAAATTAGAAATTAATTTAACTTCTATAAAATCTATAAATTCTAAAATATCTTTTGTTCAAAATTATTAAGGAGAAGTTGTATTGCACTGATGATCACATTCCTTTAATATAAAAAATGACAATAAAACATGTACTGTATTTTTAATCAGTTGCCAACTCAATAAATGAAAATGCAAGTTTCTCTACTTATTTTGTTTTCTGATATTTTGTTTTCATTAAATTATAGTTTAATATAATTAATATTTTTATATTTAGAATTGTAAAAATAAAATTTTAATATATTATAATCTGAAATATTAAATTAGTTAAATTTAAAAAATTTTTAATGCTAATAAAATTTCATATTATAAAAACATTACCTTCTTGCCAAAAGTCCTCTACCATGACACTGAATTCCAATAACTGCTTTTTTAATTTGTAAGTAATGATTATGTTGAAGAAATCCTCTAACATGTTTCTGAACCATTACAGCACATGCTCTTAATTTATCCGCTCTTAATTTTTCCAAATAAGCCACTTGGCCAGCTCTAAAGAAAATTTTTGTTTTTCCAAACTGGAATTTATCTTCATCCTAATATTTAAAACATTATATATAATTAAACATGTAACTTTTTTAATTTTTAATATTTAAATTAGAAAGAAAAAGAATACAAAAGCAGAACATGCAGTGCTTAATATTCATGCATTTTTGATATTTTTGATATTTTTTAAAATCAACTTCAGAAATGATTAATATAAACAAGTTTACATTGGTGGTTTAAAACAACCAACCCAAACTTTTATTATTCTACAAAATCCAAAAAAATTTTTTTTAACACCTACAAATACAATAAACAAACTAATATAAAATATGCAAGCCATCAAATTATAGAAATTATATTTAATTATGCTTGTTACCAGAAATTAAAATAATGAAAAGAAATAAAACAATTAAAATTTGTGTCATATAATAAATAGATGAAAAGGACTAAATTTTTGATTTTTTACTTTACATTAATCAATTATCTGAAATAATAAGCAAAACTGACAAATCATTTGCTCAAAAACTAATATAATTTTATAAAATATTGTTTTAGGATACAAAATGGAAAAAGTTAAGTCTCATATTACCATATAAGGATATGGATAAATATAAAATATTGAAATAGAACTAAAATTGAAATGAAAAGATTGAAGAATCATTGCAATATATCAGGCTTTAAAGTTCTACCACAAAAAAATGGCAAAAGAATTGTTTTATTCTGTATATTTGCAATTAACAAAAAACAAAAAAAAAATTGAATATCAGATCTTTAAATTTGAATATTTGCATAAACCTTCAAAATTTAAGCAATTTAAACGTAATATTTTATCTTGTCTTAAATTTTAATTTTATTTCAATTTTAATGTCTTGGAAGTTTCCAGTTTAAAAGCTAATTTTAAAATGTAGAATTGTAACATATAAATTGTGTTTAAATATGAAATTAATGATAATTTAAATGTTCAGATCTAAAGATAATACAGATAAAATAACTTTGAAAATAATTATCTTGAATTCAGTGTATGATTTCTAGATAGGTGCATTAAATTTTTTCTATTTTGTAAGTGGTTGGATTAATTTTAAACAAATAAAGTTAGACCAAGTGATGCAACCATTTACTATTAAGTTTTTTTAATAGTAAGTTATTAATAGACTAGCAGGTAGGTCCGGTGTTGCTCGGGCAAAAGTAACGATAACTAAGATTAAGATTATTACGTTACAGTCAACCTTACCCATTTTCACAGAATGCAAGAATTGGGTCCCCTTGTTTCCAGACTAATTAGAGAATTTTTAGATGGGTCTAAAAATATGTTTGATTTCCCGCAAAAATGAAAAAAAACTGCATCTGCGTCTTGCACATCACTTTCTCTTAACAATTCCATTGTTGATAGAAGTGTTAAGCCTTAATCCTGTCCCTCTCCCCCGTGGAAAGGAATTTTGAAAAATCCCTTCTTAGTGTGCGTTCTCGTAATGTATCCTAACTGTTTACCAAATTTCAATTTTCAACTCCTAACCGTTTGGGCTCGTATCCATAATGTACATAGAAGCCTTAATCCTGTCTCTCTCTCCCCCGGAGGAAATTTCAAAAATCCCTTCTTAGTGTGCATTTTCGTGATGTACCCTGTGTATCAAATTTCAACTTTCAACTCCTAACTGTTTGGACTCTGCGCTTATCATCATTATCAACCCGTCTCGATTATATATTAGATGAAATTGTTAATAATGGAATGTCATGATATGCAACAATCACTGTACAATAATCAATGGTCAACAACCATAATGCAATAATGGTGATTAATTTTGACAATCTTTCATTTCTGGAAAAATTATTTGTTAGAATTGTATGCTTATTTTTAGAATGGAAAAGAATTACATAATAAAGAAATGTAAGCTTGATAAACTTAGAGCGTGAATAACCAGCATTTAACATGGCATTATAAATGATAGATAACTCATCTTCCACTAGTGACTGAGTAGAAGGAAGAAGGTATGACCTCCGTATTAGAAAAGAAATAGCAGAATTTTTGTAGTGTGATGGCTGGTAAGCAGTAGCAGGTACGATTTGTGGTGCTTTATTATTTCTATGATGTACAGTGAATGTAAGCTCCGGAGACATACATGTCTAGATCCAGGAAGGAGATTCTATTGTTTTTTTGCTCTTCAACGGTAAAATTAATTGAAGGATAAATGGAGGCTAACATTTGCGTGAATTGTTGTAAACCCTCATTGGAGCTGTTCCATGCAATTAACACATCGTCGACGTAACGTATATATATGAGAGGATACTGGATAGTCAGCCAGGAAGGTTTATGCGTTTTTACCTCGAAAAATAATCTAGGGCAGGTGACATTCTTTGGAGGATTGAGAGACCACCCAACGATTCCACTATTCAAAGCAAAGCTATAACTTTGTGTGCTTTTCTTAACACCGTGGAAGTAGGATCTTGTTTTAGTATGATGGATTTGGAATGTTCAAGGAACTCTTTGGCTCTATCTATGTAAAAACCAGGATTTAGGAAATCCTGGTTTTTGCATAGAACAAAACGTTTTTCTTTATCAGCAACCTATAGACTTAACTGATTCGTTGCCAGGAAAGATTTAACCATCTGCATTGTCTTCAGCTTGGTCCTTGTAATTTTAGAAGAATTAACTATCCAGTATCCTCTCATGTATATACGTTACGTTGATGATGTGTTAATTGTGTGGGACGGCTCCAATGAGGGTTTACAACAATTCACGCAAATGTTAGCCTCCATTTATCCTTCAATTAATTTTACCGTTGAAGAGCAAAAAAACAATAGAATCTCCTTCCTGGATCTAGACATGTATGTCTCCGGAGCTTACATTCACTGTACATCATAGAAATAATAAAGCACTGCAAATCGTACCTGCTACTGCTTACCAGCCATCACGCTACAAAAATTCTGCTATTTCTTTTCTAATACGAAGGTCATACCTTCTTCCTTCTACTCAGTCACTAGTGGAAGATGAGTTATCTATCATTTATAATGCCATGTTAAATGCTGGTTATTCACGCTCTAAATTTACATTTCTTCAAAACCATGTTAAGAATAAATTATTTCCACAATCTTTTCTTTCTAATAAGGAAAACCTAAGAATAGCACATCCTCCCAATACTCTATTTAGGTCCTATTTCTTTAAAAATTGCTTGATAAACTTGATGAAATACTTGAATAATTCTACAATTTCAAAGTCTAATTCATTTCTAACTTCATCTCAATCTAAAACTTCAACACATACTACTGAAAAAAATTATTTAAGAGAAGTTTTAGTTTTTTTTGTTCACTTCATCTCCTACTTCCAATCTTCATTCAGAATTTGCAGCAGAAGTCAACATTCTCAGCACATCAAAAAAATCCCATCCAGAAGGAATAAATGCTACCATAAATGAAGCTATTGACAGTTGCAATCAAGAGAGCATTCAATCATCTTATGGTGTAAAAAATATCATAAAAGAAATAAATTTGTACAAAATAACTGGCTATAGAACAGAGAACTTGAACTCACTTTTTCATTCCCTCAGTTCTAACTTACAACTTCACTGAAGCAGAGAGAGCTTTATCAGCTTTATCTATAATGAAACATTTAGTCACAAAAATACAATTGTGACATCATTATCAACAATATATGTTTCATAAGGCAATACTATAAATCTAGTTTTTAAGATTTTTTATTAGTTTTTTTTATATCTTTAAAAAGATTTTTATTTTACGTTTTCAATGAAAATTAGTAAATAGCTAAAATTTAATTCTTTTGTTTCTAATTTCCTATTGATCAGTGGCCTATTTTCTTTAAAATACATTAAAGTTTGATTAAAAAATAAAAATACAATTTAATTCCGGGGATTCGTGTTTCTCCCAAGATTTATTACTAAATTTCCCACTTTCCCAAGAATGACAATTGCCAAGAAGTTGAACAACTATAGTTCTATGCTATGTCGTAGACAAGGGTCTCCAAACTAAAGTCCAAGAGACAAATATAGTCCCAAAGAATACTTATCCTGCCTGCATAGCTTGTTTTCACTAGCTTTTTTATACCATCATCAACTGAACTAGTTCAAAGCATATAAACTTTTGAAAAGTCAACTAGCATTAATTAATATACCTTTCTACAAATGATTTATATTTAAAAAGATCTACAAAATCTATTTACAGAAAGGAATTTTAAATTTTTTTTTTAAATTTCTGCTAGAGGAGAATTTTAAGTCTTAAAATGTTTGCAGAAAAGATATTTTATATATACCTTTCAAAAATACTTTTTTGAAAATGAAAGATATGAAATGAAAATATTGAATATCATTGTCCAATGAATATCTAAAAATGATTTTAATATTGAGAGCAACAAAATTTACCCCCCTCCATTTTGGTGGCATTCTTTTAATAAAGTAGTTGCAAATTTCACATTGACAGCTGTTGTTATTCAGAAATAAGAAAACTTATATCTTAGTCAAAAATTAAGATCAATCTTTTATACCTGGTCCACTGACTTGACTTTTACAGCTCACATGACCCATTTCAGAAAAAGTTGGAGACTCCTATTGTAGATAATTCTCCCAATAATCAAGACTATACATATAGATATAAATTATACTCTAACAAAAAATAATACTCTAACAAAAAAAATTCCCACTTTTGATGATAAGGTTCCAACTGGTTGATGATAACTCCTCAGGAGATCAAATTGATTTATTTGAGAAATTGATTAAATTACAATGGGTATGTTTGGGAGCTGAAAGGCAAGTTTATTTTTATTATATTTTTTAATACAAAGAGTAATCTTAATTTACAGGCAAAATTTTTTTTCTGAAAACAACTCAAATTTAAATTTCATATATAGGGATTAAACTTATCCCTTATTTTAAATTTATCTCATTCTGGCATAGCCCAGCCATTCTACTTATGTCTCCCAAATAACACTAGTGTTAGAAAACACTTCTTAACCAATATTCTAAACGAAATAAAATGAAATTGTTGATTAGGTTATTCACCAATATAAAAGAAATACAAAATGAGAAAAACAAACATGACATAAGATAACTAATATATGGGGTTTTAGACATTTCTTTATTTAATGAGAGAAAATAAAATTTAACAAAATAAATAAGCAGAAAACAAATAAAATAGAGTAAAATAAAAATTTTTTTAAAATAAATGCAAATGTAATTGCTAATACAAAGGTTTATAATGTAGAGTTAATGCTAATAACATTCACAACCATGTTAGAAAAAATATTGCTACTTCCTAGCAAATAAAGAGAAAGGACATTAATTTGTAGGCTTATAGATTTTAGAGTACAGGTAACCCCTGTATAACATGGAAGTTACATTCCAAAAAACTGCTGTGTTATGTGAATCTGTGTTATACAAAACAAAGAACTAGTGCAAAAAGGGGGGGTTAGGTTCCAAAAATTAAAAAACATGCTGTTAAATCCTTATTTAAATCAGATTTATTATTCATTTTTTTCATAGGTAAAATACTTATTTATTATTTAAGTAAATATTTTACCAGAAGATTATTCATCCTATATGATGATCTCAGCATGAGCACCATCAACTGGTAACAGTTTTTGGGTACGTTCATTAATAGTGGTCACTCTGCAAAGGGAGTGGGCTGCTGTTTGTAGGCATTTAGGAACGATGGTGAAAGAAAGAAAGATGGCGGCACCCACATTATTGATAGTATCATGATGGAGAAATCTATAATTCTAAAATGAGCTTTTAGAGGCAAAAAAAAAAGGGTCCCAATTGTAAACTTAACCTGTAATGCACATTCTCCTGCTTGGGGAGGGGACGTATTCGATGAACGAGGTGGTTTGTTGGAGGAATTTTTTGGGCGGAATAACTTATATATCCTTA